TTTTTTGGTTGCAGCCGTCATTGTTGTTTGGCGGGCCCCAGCTGGATTCGAACCCACCACCTTAGGTGTATGTGGCTGGCACCTTAGCCACTTGAGCCACAGATGAATTGTTAAAAGAAATAGTTTGGGCCAGGCACAGTGGCTCACGCCTGTAATCCAAGCACTCTGGGAGGCCAAGGCAGGTGGATTACCTGAGCTCACAGGTTCCAGACCAGCCTGAGCCAGAGTAAGACCTCGTCTCTAAAAATAGCCAGGTATTGTGCCAGGCACCTGTATCCATCAAGAAACAATGAATATGGAGAGACAGGATGAAAAGAGAAAATGGGTATAGCAAAGTGCTTGAGGAAGCTGAAGGCAGTGGGAATTACAAGGAGGTTTGAATTCTGGATGTTTTGTTTTTGTTTTTTATTAGTTGAGGTTTTGGCTGGGGCTAGGTTTGAACCCGCCACCTCTGGAATACGGGCCTGCACCCTACTCCTTTGAGTCTCAGGTGCTGCCTGATAAATTATATAACTTCATCGAACACTGTTTTTTATCATCTGTAAACTGTCAAGTGTGTGATACTTACTAGGGACTCAATATGATTATGGATTAAAATTATGAATTAAGTAAAAAGGATAGCTTGAAGTCATACTAAGTCATACAGTAGTAACCCATATCATGTAATTATTCTGAGAAGAACTGATCATTCATTACAAAAGTAGAAGATAGAATAGAAAAAAAAAAGCTTTAATTTTTAATTTTTAATTTTTTCATTTTTTGAGAAAGAGTCTCTTTGTCACCCCCGGTGGAGTACCCTGGCATCATAGCGCACAGCAACCTCAAACTCTTAGGCTCAAAGTGATTCTCTTGCCTCAGCCTCCTAAATAGCTGCAACTACAGGTGCCCACCAAAATGCCCAGCTAGGCTATTTTTAGAGATGGGGGTGTAGCTCTAGCTCAGGCTGGTCTTGAACTTGTGAGCTCATATGATCTGCCCACCTCGGCTCCCCAAAGTGCTGGGATTACAGGCGTGAGCCACTGTGCCCAGGAAAAAAAAATACTTTAAATCATATCTTCAGTGAGATGGACACAGACATGGTAGTCATAAAGCAACTTGTCAGAAAAAAGATCACAGAATACCTACAAGTGAAAATCATGAAAGCTAAATTAAAATCTCAAGATAGGTGCTCGCTTTAGCAGCCCATATACTAAAATTTGAATGATACAGAGAAGATTAGCATGGCCCCTATGCAAGGATGACACGCAAATTCGTGAAGCATTCCATATTTTTGTATTGCATTAATGTACACTATGATTTTTTTTTTTTTTTTTGAGACAGAGCCTCAAGCTGTCCCCCTGGGTAGAGTGCCGTGGCATTACAGCTCACAGCAACCTCCAACTCCTGGGCTCAAGCGAGTCTCCTGCCTCCGCCTCCCAAGTAGCTGGACTACAGGCACCCGACACAACGCCCGACTATTTTTTGGTTGTAGCCGTCATTGTTGTTTGGCGGGTCTGGGCTGGGGATTCGAACCCACCACCTTGGGTGTACGTGGCTGGCGCCTTAGCCGGTTGAGCTATAGGCGCCAAGCCTACACTATGATTTAATAAAAAAAAAAACCAAAACTCAAGTTAGACAATAAAAGCAAGAAAGAAAGGCCAAGGTGTGTTGGCTCATGCCCATAATCTTAGCACTCTGGGAGGCCAATGTAGTTGGGTTGTTTGAGCTCAGGAGTTCAAGACCAGCCCAAGCAAGAGCGAGACACTGTTGCGCCTAAAAACGGGAAAAACTAGCTGTGCTTTAGGGTCTGGGCCTGTAGCCCCAGCTACTGGAGAGGCTGAGGCAAGAGGATCACCTGAGCCTAAGAGTTTGAGGTTGCTCTGAGCTAAGACACCTAAGCACTCTACCCAGGGTACACAGTGAGATTCTGTCTCTAAATAAATAAACAAATAAATACAGTTTTGTAGAGATGGGGCATCACTATGTTGCCCAGGCTGATCTTAAACTCCTGACTTCAACCAATCCTTCTACCTCAGCCTCCCAAAGTGCTGAGATTACAGCTGTGAGCCACTGCACCCAATCTGTTTATTCCTTTTTAATTTCAGTATATCACACATATTAGAAAATTTAGTGAATGTTGGTAAAAGGTATGAATGAATCAATGAAGGTATGAACTCCTATATCTAAAAATACCCAGTTAAAAAAAATAAGTTTTTAGTAATGTAGAAAAAATATATTTCAGGAGGCAATGATGCTTTTACAAGACTAAATACAAAAGAGGATGAGAAGCTGGTAAGGAAATGGATGCAAAATATGGATAGAGAGGATGGCGGAGGGCACCAGTCTGTTAGAATTGAGAGAGAAATCTAAGAGGAGAAAAGCAGGCAAAGTACTTAGGTAAGGGGAAAAGGTAGGATAATTTGAGAGCTCATGCTGAAAAATCTTATGCTTGCATAACAGGTCTATAGCTTTTGAGGGCAACTTCCTGAATAGCGTCTTAAAGATGCAGTTTCTACACTGATCAACTGGGTTGGTACCTGCTATGCCTTACTTACCTGGCCACTGGCCTCTTGTCAGTTCTCTGTCAACCAACCAGGGTTCCTTCCCTTGCTCCAAGTAGGAAATCACATTTGGTTTTGAAATAGAATGTCCTGCTTACAAAAGAAATAATGAGACAAATTTATAGTGAAAATGTCCCAGAATTTAAATCCCGTTCCTTTGTTACAAAGAAAGAGAAGACATTATGGGAGTCAAAGAAAAGGACAACAGACTTGAAACATCCCCTATAAGTCAACAGAGCTTTCTTTTCCTGATTCTGGCTTTTGAAAGGTAGGTGGCTTTTCACATTGGGGAGGTAAACCTTCCAAGAGCAGACTCTGAATTATTATGGACAGATGTCCTTACCCATTGAAACCAGGTTGCTGTAATTCTCCAACATCACATCTCTGTACAAATCTCTCTGATCATCATTCAGGCATTCCCACTCCTCCTGAGAGAAGTCTATGGACACATCACTGAACATCACTGACTCCTGGAACAACAACCATGTATATGGCTTGATTAATGAAAAGAAATGTTTTTTTGTAAAAGAAAGAGAGAAGAGAAAGATTAAGGTGGAGGAAGCGAAATAATAACGAGCATGTGAATGTTTGGGACACAAGTGGAAGACGGTAAACAAATAAGCACAACCAAAACACTGTGCTTCCATGTCATTCTGTTTCCTCCAAACACAATTATTTGAGCATAATGGGATACTCTGTTATCCAAACAAGGCTGGGAAGGTATAAAATTCAGCTAAGAGAAGTTTCCCAATTAAGTGAAATTATATATACAATGCCTAGCACAATACTTGTCATATAATAAATCAATAATGCATGAGGTCTTCTTTCTCCCGTCCTTTTCCCCAAATAGTTAAAATTTCAGAATGAAGGATAAACACAAGATATTAAAAGCATCCAGAGAAGAAAGTAAGTCATTTATTTACTTATTCAGTGGTAAGATAGGATTTTATTAGACAGAAAGGAATACAGAAGGAGTAAAACAACACCAGAGCTTCTGGCAAAGGGGAAGAGAGTCCTTTAAAAGGCATTAAGAACCACAGGGGCAATGGAATCCTCAACAACACCTCTAAAAGCAAGAAATGGTAAGAATAAGAACTCCTCTTCAATATTCTGCTGAAGAAAATAAATTCTGAATTTCATAACCAAGTTATCACGGTGAATGTAGAAAAAAGACATCCCAAGATATCCAGAGACTAAAGAACTTTTTCTTAGGAACTACTATAGGATGTGCTCCACAAAAATGAGGAAGTAAACCAGAAAAGATGATGACATGGAATTCAGAAAACAGGTAAAGTACCCAGAAGAGCTGTGAGAGAAAATCCAGGAAAAGCAACAAAAGAGCCTGGAAAACTGTGTAGAAGACCCAGATCGGATGGGAGCAAGGAGACAAAGGGAATGGGGAAGGAAAGTCTCTGTGTTTAGAAGGAACTGGTATGTTTGACCAGATAGAAAACTTATTGATTGACATGTGGCAGTGATACTGGAGATTTTTTTTTTTTTTTTTTTTTTTCTGAGACAGAGCCTCAAGCTGTCCCCCTGGGTAGAGTGCTGTGGCATTACAGCTCACAGCAACCTCCAACTCCTGGGCTCAAGCGAGTCTCCTGCCTCCGCCTCCCAAGCAGCTGGGACCACAGGCGCCCGCCACAACGCCCGGCTATTTTTTGGTTGCAGCCATCATTGTTGTTTGGCGGGTCCGGGCTGGGGATTCGAACCCGCCACCTTAGGTGTACGTGGCTGGCACCCCAGCCGGTTGAGCCATAGGCGCCGAGCCTGGAGATTTTAAAAATAAACAAACAACCAAACAAATGGGGGAGGAAAAAAAGCAATTAGCCCCAGCAAAATGAAAGGTTGTATAGGATAAAGCCATGAGCTGGTTTGGCAGAAAATAATATTTGCAGCCGTAATAGTGTGTACACTATTGACTTAGCCAAAAGTGGTGAAATGATTAGTAACAAAGTCAGGGAAATGGAAAGTACAACATGAGAAGACAATGTTCCTTTTTCACTTTGCAGTAAATCAAGAGATAAGTAAATTGGATTCATAAACAAACCATAATTATACAATGATATTAAAAAGTTAAGGGCAGTGGCCTTTTAATAACAGGACTGGTGAAGGGGCAACACTGGAATCATACTACTTTTCTTGCAGACATGTGTAAAATGACTTAAAAAAATATTTTATCTTTGGCCAGCCATGGTAGCTCACGCCTATAATCGTAGCACTCTAGGGGGCTGAGAAGGGTAGATTGCTTGAGCTTAGGAGTTTGACACCAGCCTGAGCAATAGTGAGACTCTGTGGCTACTAAAACCTAGCTGGACATTGTGTTGGGCACCTGTAGTCCCAGCTAATGGGGGCACTGAGGCAGGGGGAACACTTGAGCCCGGGAGTTTGAAGTTGCTGTGAACTATGTAGCCATGGTACTCAATGCCAGGGCAACAGAGACTCTATCTTTTAAAAAAAAAAAATGTATCTTAGAAAATTAAATTTGCATATAATTCAAGACTCTGATCCATTCCAATGCTACACTATTATGTAATGAGAATTATTCCTTGTTACAACAAAAGCTTTTCACAAGTACATTTTTTCTCACTGAACAATATTCTGTTGTAAGGATATAGATGACAATTTTCTTTTCCATCTTGCTCTGTCACCCAGGATGGAGTGCAGTGGTGCAATCATAGTTCACTACAGCCTCAATCTCCTGGACTTCTGAATAGCATTCTTAATGCTTATTTAATTGTTATGGGACTATATGCATGCACCACCATGCCTGGATAACTTTAAAACAATTTTTTTTAGAGATGAGTTCTCATTATGTTGCCCAGGCTAGTCTCAAACTTCTGTCCTCCCTCAATCCTCTCGCTTCAGCCTTTAGTCACTGGATTATGGATGTGAACCAATGCATGCAGTTCCACAACTTTTCTTTTGCCCTTATTTATTTATTTTTTTGAGACAGAGTCTCATTATTTTGCCCTCAGCAGGGTGCCGTGGTGTCATAGCTCATAGTAACCTCAAACTCTCGATCTTAAGAGATTCTCTTGCCTCAGCCTCCCAGGTAGCTGGGACTACAGGCACCCGCCACAATATCCAGCTAGTTCTTTTGTTGTTGTTGTAGTTGTCATTATTGTTTGGCAGGCTGGGGCCAGGTTCTAACCCGCCAGCCCCAGTTTTATCTTTGGCCAGCCACGGTAGCTCACGCCTATAATCCTAGCACTCTGGGGCCACTGGCCCCATCTTATTTATAACTATTCACTGCCCATATGTAAATTCCTATAGTAATCAAACTACAGAAACTCAATGGAGGATGATCCAGATTCACACAATGGGATCACTGATGTCAATTTTTCTTCTCTCTCTCTCTTTTTTTTTTTTTGCAGTTTTTGGCTGGGGCTGGGTTTAAACCTGCCACCTCTGGCATATGGGACTGGCGCCCTACTACTTTAAGCCACAGGCGCTGCCCTCTTTTTTTTTTTTAGACAGAGCCTCAAGCTGTTGCCCTGGGTAGAGTGCCATCACAGCTCATAGTTAGTGTATGTGGCCAGAGCCCTAACCGCTGAGCTACAAGTGCCAAGCCTTTCCTTATTTTCTTTTTTTCTTTTGCCTTTAGACATTTAGGCTGGAGATGATCTTTAAAGATCTTCCCCGGGCCAGGTGCAGTGATACACACCTGTAATCCTAGCATTCTGGGAGGCTAAGGCCAGTAGATTGATTGAACTCAAAAGCTCGAGACCAGCCAGAGCAAGAGTGAGATCCCATCTGTACTAAAAATAGAAAAACTAGCCAGGCACAGTGGCAGGCACCTGTAGTCCCAGCTACTCTGCAGGCTGAGGCAAGAGGATCACTTGAGCCCAGGAGTTTGAGGTTACTGTGAGCTATGATGCTATGGCACTCTACTCAGGGTGACAGAATCAGACTCTATCTTAAAAGAAAAAGAAAAAGAAAAAGAAATAATGACCTCTCCTGACCACTGGCCCCATCTTATTTATAACTACTTAATGCCCATATATAAATTCCTCTAGTAATCAAACTACAGAAACTCAATGGAGGATGATCCAGATTCACACAATGGAATCATTAATGTCAATTTTTCTTTTCTTTTTTTTTTTTGAGACAGAGCCTCAAGCTGTTGCTCGGGGTAGAGTGCTGTGGCATCACAGCTCACAGCAACCTCCAACTCCTGGGCTTAATCGATTGTCTTGCCTCAGCCTCCCAAGTAGCTAGGACTACAGGTACCTGTCACAATGCCTGGCTACTTTTTGGTTGTACTTGTCATTGTTGTTTGGCAGGCCCAGGCTGGATTTGAACCCACCAGCTCTGGTGTATGTAACTGGCACCTTAGCTACTTGAGCTACGGGTGCCGAGCCAATGTCAATTTTTCATGGATGTTTAGTGGGATACCAGATCAACCACTAGTCATACTCTTAAACCTAAAAATCACATAAATCAGGATCTTGCCATGTGCTAAGACTGAAATTGAACAAAACCAACACTCATAATTTCTTATTGGAAAACCCAGGTCTGTGGAGCTACTCAAGGCTTTTCCATATGAAGTTTCCCTAATTACTCATTTCTACTCCATTAAATCATTGTCCAAGCTAATTAGATATATTAATGTGAGGAAAACACTTCTATCAGGATTTCTGGCAGAAGTCTGAAAGAGGAGATGCTGAAGGACTTATAAAATGAGTATATAAATATTATTTAAATAAAGGGGAAAATGGAGAGGGCACTGAGTTAAGGAGGAAATGAGGAACAGTTCCTGAAGGACCCTGTAAAAAAAATTATTCCAAACCTGGTCTGGGTTAGATCATTTTTACAATATTTAATATGCAGTCTCATTATGGAAAGAAATAAGCATTCTTAATGAAATTAATAAGTAATTTTCTGATGAAATTTAATCTAATTAAAACTTTTTCTGTGAAACTTGTTCTCTAACCATTGGACCAATTAACACTTAACTAAGTAATGTAAAATTTCTAACAATGATAATCTAACTACTTCTTTTTTCTATTAATTTTCCTGTTAGAGAATTTTTCCTTCATAAGAAAGGTAAAAGAAATTCACCACTGCTTATAAAAACTAAACTGTCTGATGTCTGAAGGGTTTTTATTCTTTTTTCTTTTTTTTTTGAGATGGAGTCTCACTCTATTGCCCTGGGTAGAGTACTTGGCATCATCGTAGCTCACAGCAACCTCAAACTCCTCAGTTCAAGTGATCTGCTTGCCACAATTTCCCAAGGGGCTGGGACTACAGGAATGCAGCACCATGACTGGCTATTTTAAGTAGAGACGGGGTCTCACTCTTGTTCAGGCTGGTCTCAAATTCCTGAGCTCAAGCAATCCATCCACCTCAGCCCCCCAGAGTGCTAAGATTACAGGCGTGAGCAACCATGCCCAAGTGGGTTTTCTTAGTCTTAAAACACCAAAAAGCATCAGGACAATGAATGCAAATGTCTACCTGTATTAGGAGTAAAAATGACTCGATCAGAGGGCAAAATGAAATGGTATCTCACCTGAGCCATGGCTTTGATATTTGTAGAAAAGGACCTTCTCTGGGCTCTTCTTTTGGAAAAGGGTAGAGCTGGGAGAGGCAAAAGAAGATACATGAGACCCCATTTGCCTCACAGCTCCCAGAATAATCATTTCTTCTCTGTTTATGCCACATAAGCACTTGAAGGGTATCAGTGAGAAAAATGAGCAAATGTCTTATAGCCCCTAGCTCCAAAGATGTCAGGTTTTTTTTTTTTTT